ACACACACACACCCACGCTTGCATAAGCTGGCCAGCAGTTGGTTGCTTATCTCAAATGTTGCGAATATTATCTGCGATAATGAGAAACCTAATTGTGAGCTATGCAAATGTGCGGACATAACAGCTAAGCGCATATGTGTGTGCTGGGTAAGTGTTAAAGCAATTAAATTTGATAGTTTATCGAGACTAATTTAAATAAACGGAAATTAGACACCTGCTAACAAGTTGGCAGCGCTGCACTTACATTTTTTTGCCACAGCGCAGCTGGCAACGCGATGCCCACACACACACACAACAATTAACGCTAAGCACATACAGTTAATGAAAATGCGAATGGTATAGGAAAAATTCAAAATTCTGTGTCACATGTGCTGAGCTCTTTTCTCTCTCCCTTCCTCTTTCTCCTTCTCTATCTCTCTCGCTCTAAATTGGCAACTTAATTGGCCTGTCAGCGTCTGATCTTTGCGCCCCAAATTGCAAGCACACACGTTGCCAACTACACGCACAATGCTGCCTGCGTCTGATAAGTGATTATCGCCGTAAGCCATAAGCATTGTTCTGCCTTATTTGGCTGACAGCACATAAATGACTCCTTGTTAATTAATTTTAGTTTAAATTTGCCTTAATATTTTATAATGCAAGATATGACAAGCCTGCACAGTTTGAGAGCCACTACTGTTACGAGGCGAAATGCAGCCAAACTGCTTAACATTTGCGCAGCGCTGTTAAGTGGTATAACAGCGACACTGCGCTGTTATGTGCGCTGTTAACTGTTATAATAGTGCAGCCTAAAAGTATGCAATCAAAATTAGTTTGTCATGAACTTTTAATCAAATTTGATGATTTATATGAACTTTGCTGCAATTTATATTAAATATTTAAATATGATATAATTTTGCATCAGTTGCTTAACTATTTAGCTTATTTTTCTATCAAAACTGTTTCAATTTTTGGCTTAAAAATTTGTTTTGTAAAAGTTCGCTGCGACTTAAAGTTTCAACTTAGTTGCAGCCGCAGTCACGATTAGGCGAGTCTCTTGGTAATCCCCAGAAATGCTTTGACCACAATTTTGATTAGCTCTGTACACGCAGCAGCAGTAGCAGCAACAACCGCCCACCGAGTGCCACACCCCCTTCGCTTGCATTTCATTTAATTGCTCGAGTCAGCCAAAGGCAAAGCCAAAGCCAGAGCCACAGCCACAGCCAAAGCCCAAGTCCCTAGCCAAGTTTGCTAGCCCGTATGCGCCACCTCTTTAATTGACGGTTTTCAAATGTTTTCGGGCTTCCAACTGTGCTCCTATCTGGCCTTTTGTCTTAGCTCTCCGCTCGACCACACAGCAGCTGCAACACCTGCTAAACTGTTTGCCTTGTACCTTTACCTTTTGTTAGCTTCTCCTTCTTTTTATTCTTCTTGTATTTATTTATTTTCTTCTTTTCTTTTTTCTTTTTCTGAATCAAGCTTTATCAATGCCAATGCTTTGGGCAATATAAAGGACAGCAGAGCGAAAACTGACTCTATTTGACGAAGAGATACCCTGTATGAAGACGAAAATGAATGAAGAGACATAGACATATATAGATAATCACATATATGAATAACAAATTAATAGACAGATCAATAAATAGATAAACACGCAGACAAATGTATGGAACAAGAGATAAAATAGCAAATCGATATACACTTAAATCGATAGTTCAACAGAAACTTGAACAAAAAACAGGAAGACAAGGGGAGGGGACACTGGCAGATGAATCGATAAATCGATAGACAGAAAAACATGTGAAGCTGAAACTGATCGATAAATGAAAGCACAGCAAGAAACAGAGAGAAAGCTAAGCAGACGTAGAGAGACAGACAGAAAGGTAGATACATCGATAGGTAACTATAGATAAATATCTATAAAGACAACAAGAGAGACATATGTAGATATACATGAACAATAGTTTTTTTTAGACGCGTAATGCATTAAAGATTTATTAAGTCGGCACTAAATAATCCTATAAAAATCCTTAAATAACCCCATTTCGAAACTATTTAATAAATATTTACAGGGTATATACAATATTCTGATAAGCCAAACAGCTGTTGTTGCCCAGATACACACAAACATATGCATATATAATATATACATTAGTGCATGTAGCTATTGGTGTCTGCGTGTGTGTGTGTGTGTGTGTGTGTGTGAAAACCTAATGATGACAACTGTTACCACTGACAGCTTATTACATAACCTCACTTCACACACATTTACACTCACACAACGCCACGCGCTCTCACACTCTTTCTGTCTCTCTCGCACACACACGTACACACAGTTGAGGCTGTTGTGTAATTTGTAGTTCAATTACCCCCGCTAATACGTTGACTTACAGCACCTCAGCGGTGGCTTCCCCTAGCCCTACGTCGCCCCCGCCGCCCACTCCTTCATCTTCTCCAACCCAACATCTTCGAGCCTCGAACCTAACTACCCAATTACTTGGCATGTAACTCGAATTCGTTAATTATTTTGACAGTTGGATACGTTGACAAGAACAGTAACAACAACAACAACCAACTGAAATACATATGCGTAGACATATGTCAATTGCAGCATGAGAACTACTCAATACCCTTTCCATTCCACTGATTAATTGGAGACTGAGAATTTTGTATCAATTAGTTGAGCGTGTGATTTAAAGTTGGCAATGATATGACAATGACAATGACAATGACAATGACAATGACAATGACAATGACAATGACAATGACAATGACAATGACAATGACAATGACAATGACAATGACAATGACAATGACAATGACAATGACAATGACAATGACAATGACAATGACAATGACAATGACAATGACAATGACAATGACAATGACAATGACAATGACAATGACAATGACAATGACAATGACAATGACAATGACAATGACAATGACAATGACAATGACAATGACAATGACAATGACAATGACAATGACAATGACAATGACAATGACAATGACAATGACAATGACAATGACAATGACAATGACAATGACAATGACAATGACAATGACAATGACAATGACAATGACAATGACAATGACAATGACAATGACAATGACAATGACAATGACAATGACAATGACAATGACAATGACAATGACAATGACAATGACAATGACAATGACAATGACAATGACAATGACAATGACAATGACAATGACAATGACAATGACAATGACAATGACAATGACAATGACAATGACAATGACAATGACAATGACAATGACAATGACAATGACAATGACAATGACAATGACAATGACAATGACAATGACAATGACAATGACAATGACAATGACAATGACAATGACAATGACAATGACAATGACAATGACAATGACAATGACAATGACAATGACAATGACAATGACAATGACAATGACAATGACAATGACAATGACAATGACAATGACAATGACAATGACAATGACAATGACAATGACAATGACAATGACAATGACAATGACAATGACAATGACAATGACAATGACAATGACAATGACAATGACAATGACAATGACAATGACAATGACAATGACAATGACAATGACAATGACAATGACAATGACAATGACAATGACAATGACAATGACAATGACAATGACAATGACAATGACAATGACAATGACAATGACAATGACAATGACAATGACAATGACAATGACAATGACAATGACAATGACAATGACAATGACAATGACAATGACAATGACAATGACAATGACAATGACAATGACAATGACAATGACAATGACAATGACAATGACAATGACAATGACAATGACAATGACAATGACAATGACAATGACAATGACAATGACAATGACAATGACAATGACAATGACAATGACAATGACAATGACAATGACAATGACAATGACAATGACAATGACAATGACAATGACAATGACAATGACAATGACAATGACAATGACAATGACAATGACAATGACAATGACAATGACAATGACAATGACAATGACAATGACAATGACAATGACAATGACAATGACAATGACAATGACAATGACAATGACAATGACAATGACAATGACAATGACAATGACAATGACAATGACAATGACAATGACAATGACAATGACAATGACAATGACAATGACAATGACAATGACAATGACAATGACAATGACAATGACAATGACAATGACAATGACAATGACAATGACAATGACAATGACAATGACAATGACAATGACAATGACAATGACAATGACAATGACAATGACAATGACAATGACAATGACAATGACAATGACAATGACAATGACAATGACAATGACAATGACAATGACAATGACAATGACAATGACAATGACAATGACAATGACAATGACAATGACAATGACAATGCAATGACAATGACAATGACAATGACAATGACAATGACAATGACAATGACAATGACAATGACAATGACAATGACAATGACAATGACAATGACAATGACAATGACAATGACAATGACAATGACAATGACAATGACAATGGCAATGACAATGACAATCAACAATGACAATGACAATGACAATTACAATGACAATGACAATGACAATGACAATGACAATGACAATGACAATGACAATGACAATGACAATGACAATGACAATGACAATGACAATGACAATGACAATGACAAGCTCTCTCACAAAGTGCACAGCCCTCTCGAAATGTAGATAGATCTCTATTTTGGATAACCAGCCCCATTAGGGATTGGTTTCCATTTGCTACATGACAAGTTGTCTCCAACTGCCCAAATGACCAGCCGACCACAGCTGCTCGTAACTGTAATTTGTGTGACAGTCGCCGTCACAGAGCCAATATTTCGGGGCTAGCCACTGATTAGGCCAGTCAAATGGACATGACAAATGAGGGGATGATGCGATGAGTTGATGGAGTCGCCCGCAGCGCAGGCAGAGATATGAAGACTGGCTTGAGTTGTATATATATATATCAACATTAACTTGGGATTATTTATTTGTGTGGGGCTTAAGAGCTAGTTTACATAGTACAGTTTAGATTGCTGGGCAGAGGCAATAGCAGCTCCATGAGCAGCCAGCCCAATGGAAAGGCGTAGGCGAGTAGCGTGACGAGCAAGAGAAAGAGTCGCCTGCGCCGATGCCAGCACTATATAATGCTGGCGTCATCCTTGACATCAGCCTCGCTGCTGATTCGGTTGAGAAAGTCGCGGCGAACTGCACTCCAGTTGGGCGCTGCATGATCCTTGAGCAGCTGCCAGTTGGGCGAATGGACATCGGGCGACAGCCAATTAAAGTCGGCCACATCTGTGTAGTTATTCTGAGACTTATTTAGTCCCGATTGCTCATAGTCAGACTCCAACTCGGCATAATCATAATTGTAGACATCTATTTCGATTTGCCGGCAATCTTCAATGATGGCTCTGCAGGTGACGTGCAAATAGATCCTGGTCGACTGGGATGAATGCAAGCGCAGCTGCTGGCAGGCTATGGCCACGGTGCAGCGGTTCAATTGCTCCGCAAAGAAGGAACGCGAAACGGGGCCACAGAGGAGCGTACATTGATTTGCATTCGAGATCTGCACAGAGCCTGCATGTCCTTGCAGTTCCACCAAGCATTTGTGCAAATTGGATATAGTAATATCCTTTCCATTTACCTGCTCAGCACTTAAAACAATGTGGGCATTGCTACGATTGGCTATGGTCCAGGTAAAGGAACTGCATGGGGCTGTCTTTGGAGTCCCGTCTACCTTGCTCAGAGCGGGCGGCAACTTCTGTTTAACCAACGTCTTCTTGCCACTAAAACCAAATTTCTTCTTGGGCATCAAACGTTGACGCGCTTCATCACAGGCGCTGGTCAACGCATTTAGAGCATTCTGACAGGATTTGATCTTGAAATCCGATAGAAACATCGTCGAGGCTGTTAAATAATTCTGCAGCTCTTGTATTTGTAGAGTGATGTCTCCAAACAGTTTGCTGAGATCGGGCAACGGTGCATCTCCACTGTCCAGCTGCAATGTGCTAATCCTTTGCTCGATCTCGCAAGCCCGCTCCCCAAACGCTTGAGCAAAGTAATCGACGCCCTCGTTCAATGCGGACTCTTTGCTGCGTTGCTCCAGCTTAACATCCAGATAGTTTTGACGATCTTTGTTCCGTTTATTCAACCGCTCTAGCAGGTAATCCTTGCGTGCACAAGCATCCACAGTGCCCTCCAGTTGTTTGTCCATTTCCGCCATTTTCGATTCAGCTGCAATGGAAGTGTTAAAAATCAATGCAGTCGTAAGATGAGAGAACTCCCGTTTATTCATACATACAAACAAATATATAAATATATATATATATATGCATTCATGTATGTGTGTGTCACCTCTCACCAACAATTCCCGTTGTCTGAATCGAAATGTTGTCTGCGCGCAGCTGCAGCAAAATGTGTCACAAAATTAGCACTTATACAGCCAATTGTATAGCCGCTTGATTCGGTTACTTGTGGCTTATGGAAAATAGGGAAAAGTCCATAAATGAAGCCAATTATTTTGCTTTTACAGGTGGCTGCCAGCAGAGCGTAGTTAAAGAAAAGTCCAATAAACAATCAACTTACTCACTTTGGCACGTTACACTGCGGAGTTGCAGACACGCCAACTCACTTGAAATACGTTGCTGTTAAAGCAGTCGATTCGCAGTGAATGGCAAAATGGCAGCAGGGACAGGAGCTAGCAGTGCGCTTTACATGGACTTTTTTTTGAAAATGTTGAAAATACTTTTTGTTTTTAGTTGTCAATTGTATAGTTTGTTGTATGTATTTAAATATATATATATATTAATTGAGTGACTGCATAGATGATGATAGTAATGAAGAAACCGTTACTTCTCCAAATTAATTTTTCAGCAATTAAAACATGCATTCTTCATTTTAAAAACTTAATATTCAGTGGCTTTTTCGCATTTTTAACATACATTTCTCTTGCTGCGAAAAAACCTTCTTCGATTTATTCGACTTGCCACCCTATGATCGCGCTGATCTTCCTCCTGCTCAATCAGCTCGACTTTCATACATTTATGTCATGTTTTACTCTTGCTAACTATTGTTAAATTTTATTTTTCTTTAATTTTAAATGCATTTTAATCAAAATTAATTGACTGAAACAAAAAAACAAAATTTAGCTTTAAAGCAAAATATTTATCATGCAGCAACTGCTGTAAAGTGCTGCCAACTTGATGGAATTTGTTCTTTGCTAGCTACAAAAGGAAAACTGTGCAAATTTCGCGCCAAATGAAAATTTTGAATTTGAACATGAGTTGTGAATAATAATAAATAAATAAATAAAAATATTTGGGATCAATTTAAGATTATTGAAAGCAATTTATGTGAGCTAAATTTCCAAAAAATTAGAGCTCTAAACATATTTTAGATAAATTTCACAAAAACAATTTTATAAAAAATTTATTATTTTCGTTTCTTTTAAATCATTTTTTGTATTGCTAATTTAATTAGTTTATTCTAGCTAGCAACTTATAAAATAGACTAAATTATTTATTAGTTTTTTTTTAACTAGTTTTATTAAAACTATTATACTATTTAAATACTTTTAACGTATATTTGAGTTTATTTCAAATGAACTAATTATATATATAGGTATTCTAGAATAAAAAAGCGCCGAATCTTAAATACGCTTATAGTTTGGCAGACACATGAAGCTAGGTACTGATTTAGCAGTTGGTATAGAAGACATATAATTCCAACTGTGAACAGACAGAGGGACAGCGGTCATAGCTTTATCTACTTGACTGTTGATAATATATGCTCTATATAATAAAAAGCTCTCATCAATGGACAAAGAAAAGAGTCAACTGCTGCTAGGAGTTGGGAATATATATAGAATATATATAAAGATCAGGGAACTAAGAACAGAAACCATATGCTTAATATACAAGAATACAAATAAAAGAAATTTTCCTAAAAATCTCACCTTACCGAATATTCAACATTGCTTAAGAAATTCCCTAAATATTTCCTACAAGAATAGAGAGTATTTCCTCTAACAATTTTAACGTTATACTTAAATTTCCTCTACTCTCATTTCGTGTGCTCTCGCTGATGCGCCTTGCAATAGGAGCTTTGGGCAAAGGATTTCGGGCAGTATGGACATTTGAAGGGTTTTTCGCCCGTATGGATGCACAGATGGACCTTGTAGTTGTAGGCCTTTAGAAAGGAACGCGGACAATGCGGACACTGGTAGGGTCTTTCGCCTGCATGTCCACGCAGATGCGAATTGAAATTCGAGTTCTGTGCAAAGGTTTTCGGACAATGCGGACATTCATAGGGACGTTCGCCCGTATGATTACGCAGATGTTTCTTCAGATCATGGCTGACTTTGAAGCCTTTCGTGCAGTATTTGCACTGAAAGGGCCGTTCGCCCGTATGTCCACGTAGGTGCACCAGAAAGTGCGACTTTTGCTGAAAGGTCCTCTTACAATGCGGACACTTGTAAGGACAATCGCTCGGCGCTTCACTCTGATGGACTTGCAAATGTTTGTTTCGATTCACGTTGCTCACAAAAGTGCACGGGCAGTGCGGACACTTGAATGGCCTTTCAAGCTTACTAACAGGCGGGCATTTATATGAACGTTCAGCTGTATGAATGAGTTTTTGCTCTGCGGGGCTGGACGGCTGTGGGAACTTCCTCGAGCAATGGCTATCCGCTTCAGATGTTTGCCTGCTTGACGAGGTGCAGCATCTGTAAGGTAAATGGAAAAGAATTAACTAATATAAAAGGATGTAAAAGTGAAGCTGATAAATAAATAAATAAATATTAAAGCTATATCTACTTATCACACTCCCTCGACAGCACTAGCCACCTGGCTTTACTGTACTGCTGCTCTACTCACTTTTCGTGCAGTTGCAGCTGCTGTAAGTTGGGAAATTCCTTGCTGCACAAGTTGCATTTATAGCTGCGCCTCTTGTTCACTTTTACTGCAGGTTGCTCGACATTTTTGCTAGCTTCGAGTCTCGAGTTAACATTTGATGGCCGCTGTGTTGCCTTGCTATGCTGCTCTTCCTCCTCCGGCTCTGTTTTAATGGATTTCAGCCTAATATTGCTTTCCAGCAAATCAGCCTTACTCTTCAAGTTCACTAAGGCACTTGTTATGGACTGCTGCTGCGGCTGCTGCTTCTCCTTTCTGTGTTTTTTTATGCTCTCTGCTGTTTTCAATTCCAGTGCAGGCTTTTTGACTCTTGGACTCATGCGTCCTTGAACTTCCGTCGTGTGTTTTGGTGGAGCTTTGCTTTGCTGCACCTGCTCCACTCGCTGCACTGGCTCCTTTTCAATACAGCTTGCATCTATGATTGCCTTTGCTCCATTTTGCCGCTGGCGATTCACGCCAATGGGCGAGCTCGATACAGAGCACTTGTGTTTGATCAAATCGTTTCGCTTCATGAATCCCTTCGGACAATGATGGCATTTGTGTGGAAATTCGCCCGTATGCTCATAAACGTGAGCGATATAGTTCGATTTGTGGGCAAAGCTGTTCGGGCAATGCGGACACTTGTAGGACAACTTGTCGCTGTGAATCTGCAGATGAATCTTCAGCTCGAAACCCTTGGCAAAGACGCGCGGACATTGCGGACATTGAAGAAAACCCTTCCCCTTGTGTATGCAGTTCCTCGGACACAAAGGACATTTGTTCATATCTTTGACAATGTGCGTGCGTTGATGCTTCATCAGATCTGCGTATTTCATATATCCTTGCGGACAATCAGGGCACTGATGTGGAAATTTCCCGGTATGTCCAAACATATGGCTAGTGTAGATAGATTTGTGCGAGAAACTACTCGGGCAGTAGGAACACTTGTAGGATAGTTTATCTGTGTGTATTAGCAGGTGTATGTTCAGCTCATCGCTACGTTCGAAATACCGCGGACAATGTGCGCACTGGTGGTGTCCCTTGACAACAGTTGAAGAGCTGTGTGGGAGGGAGAGAGAGCATATTACACATTTCACTCTTATTACACCTTCCAAGCTGTTGCTAGAACATGTGGCTTACTCCGCTGCTGCAGCAGCTCTCTTCTTCATTCGAGTTCTTGGAACCGGCTTTTTTACAGTCTGCTGCTTGTCTGCTGGCTCTACTCTCAACCCATCCGGATCTATTTTAATGGGCCCTATGTCCATCTCTGTAAAAGGTGGTTCAGCTTTGAACTGAGCACAATTGGCGTTCTCCAAGACTCCATAGAACTCCTGCTGCTGCTCCGGCTCCTGGTCGCGCTCAATTTTCACACAAGACACGTCGATTATCGCGCTCATGATTTACAAATATTGCAGCCAGTGCAAAATTTATTGAATTTTACAAAAACTTTTCTAATTTACTTTAATAAAAGTAAACATAAACAATTCACACGCAGCAACAGCTGTGCAAAGGACTGCTAACTCGCTTGAAAGTCTTTTAACATAGCGCTTAACAGCGAAAACGAAGATAAAGAAGAAACAATAGCAGTTTATGCATTGCGCGACATTCAAATATGTTTGGCAAAGTGCTTAGAAATGCTAAAGACAACTGTGATTAACATGGGCCATTCAAATGTTAAAGAGAAGATAAAGAAGAAGCTGCTTATGAATTGCGCGTAATTCAAATGATAAAATTTGAACAGAATTAGTGAATTGAATTTAAGATTACCTTGACTTTATTGAAAGTTTGCCCTGAATCCAAAAGTTTTAAGCGAGGGTTTATGATATAATTGTCTTTAACTATTCTTACTTTAGATTTAAATGAAAACACTCTGAAATTTGTTGAAGCGCTCATTTAATAAACGTGTGTGTGAGTTTGAGTGTGTTTGTGTGTGTATTATGTATTGCTTTCTGGCTTACATTTATAAGATTGAACATATTTACACTTGATTATTAATTAAACATAAGCATTTATATAATATGTTAAGTATTTAAGTATGTTTAAAGTGTGTTCCTGTGTGTGTTGGTGTGTGTGTGCATATATTGTGTGCCGCCCTAAACATGCAAACTAATTAGCAAAACATTTGTACTTTCAACTGATTATAGTTCTTGTTTGTTTTGGTTTTTTTTTGTGTTAGCAACATACAACACTTAATGACTAAAAAATATTAAATACATCCAGATTTTCTTGTCCTCTTCGTCGTCGTCGTCGTCGTCGTTTCTTTCCACTTAAGTATTTGGTTACAGTTTACGATATTTTCCTTTGTTGTAGTTGTTGTGTAAGGCACATGACACATTCCTGATTAATATGTGCGTGTATATATAGAAGATATATAGAATATAGTATATATATAAAGATTCTTTGTAATGATGGGCTGCTACATTGGTTTACATAAAGTTTGTGCGAACAAAACACATTTTTGCACATTGAAGTTTTTCTGATTTTCGCTTTACTTTCTTGTTAATTAATGCATATGACCAGCAAATGACTAAAAAATTATTAATTTATTGCGGAATTGTTGCTTTCAATTATTGTGGTTTGTTGTTTCTTTCGGCGGCCAGACTAGGCTCTTTATATAGATCATGAGAGCTCGCCAATGGGCGCATTCTGCAGCCACAGATCGTGTATGAAATTATATAAATTATCGCTGACAGCCACCTAGAGAGCAAGATCAAGACAGAGGGAGATCGAGTTATATATGGCATATATAAATATTTAATAATGTGGACCCACCTTATAGGGCGTTGGATTGAGCGTGCGCTTGTGATCGTTGCGCAGTGTTTTCAATGATATTTGCACCTTTTCGCGCACCTGCTCCAGCGTCGGCAGGTGCTGGCATATCTTGCCCGCCTTCCAGTACACCTTGTAGAGCGATTCGACGTGCGAGGGTATGACATAGGCACGCTTCGATTCCTGGAACGGATGACGACACAACACCTTCTGGCCCACGGCTGGCGGATGCTCCGAATCCTTTTGCAGCAGATCGATCAAAGCATGTCCATCGGCGCTGTAGAGACGATAGGCATTCTTATTGCCCGGCATGGTGACCTTCTCCACATCCTGGCTCAGCTTAATGCGCGCCTGCCCATTGATCTCCACCAGTTTGTAAACACAGCCCAGTGCGGGCTGTCGCTGGCAGGTGACTGAAAATTCATTTCGAAATTAACATTTTCATTTATTTTGTTATCTGGAGCGGCTCACCCAGGTGCGTGCCAATGCCAAAGCAATCGATCTTGTGTCCCTGCTCGTTCAGGCTCAAAATGGTATCCTCGTTGATGTCGTTGGAGGCGACTATGGTTAGCTTATTGAACCAGGGCACCTTGAAGCGTTCCGCCACCTTCTCGAAGGCCTCGCGCGCCAAGCAGGACAAATAGGCCAAGTCGCCAGAGTCAATGCGTATGCCCAAGGCGTGATAGCCCAAATCGTTGAGTGCCAAAGCCACAGCGCTGAAGTTTAACAGGCCACTTCTACGCAGAGAGAAGGAAAGAAGGAGAGAGTGGAAGAGAGAGAGAGAGAGAGCAAAGTGAGGCGTGCATTAAAACAAGCTGTTAACATCAATTCAAACAAGCTTTGGTGCAGCTTGATTTTGGATTAGCTAATTTCAAAAAGCGTCTTTTGGGGGAGGGCGGTGTTTTTGGTTGTATGGGCGTGGCACAGTTCTAGACAAAAAGTTGCAAAGAGTGCAAAGCATGTGGGGGAGGGGCAAAAATATATATATTAGAACTTTAATGCAGGTGTTTTAGCTTTTTCCTTTGACTTTCTTTTGTTTTGGTAGACACAACCTGAAAGCTTCAGTTACTGAAAGCCATGCAGTGTGCTCTCTCGGACGCTTTTCTATCAAATTTAATATATATATATATATATGTAGAGAAACATAAAGTTTAAAATAGAGACACGCACACACATGAAATCAATTAACAATTAACAAATTTAACGAAAACAAAATTGCTTCAATGTTCCATAATCAATATTAAAAAAAAATTTATGAAATTAATTGAAAAGACATTAAAAAATATATATATTTATTATGTATGTGGTATGTAGCATTAGGGTGATTCTGTGTCATTTTATTTTTTATTCGCAGCTGAAAAAGTTTCATTGTTCATTAGATCTTTGTGAGTGTTAAATGATTTGCATGTAGTTTGTTTATTTCTCTTGTTGTCGTATTTTGAAGACGTGTTTTACATACCTCTGCCAAAATAGTGCCGGGAAGTCATTTTTACTATGTTAGATGGAAGTAATTTCTTTTCGTTTTTATATATATTTGATCGATTTTTCTTTTTTAATTGTGGCGACTTTTCTGATTATCGTTATTTGGTTTTATCACAAGTTTAATGTCACATTTAACGAAGAGTAAAAAAAAAGGTTTTTAAATTATGCAAATGTAAATGAAATGAAAAACTTTGTTAGTTTAATATAATTAATTGCTTAAGTTAAATTAAAAACGCAATTCGAATTGTGACCCAGCATTCACCTCAACTTAAATTTATTTTTGAGTTATTTGTATTTGAGTTATCAATTAACAGTATTTGATATGCTTTAACAGTTGTATGTAATTTCACATATATTTGTTAAATAACATTGCAGCTCTTCCTGAAGCAAGGTTAAATAACATAATTGTGAATTGCAGTTCTGCAGCTAACGTTTCAAATTTACAATGTCATCTGTTATTAACATAATTATGTTAAGAATCTGTTAAGCTAATTTGAACATTATAATGTTAGGTATTGCATACGACGGCTTTTGAAGCAAATACTAGGGCATATGACAAAAAAAAAGTATCGCTCTAAGAATTATACAAAAATACTAAATAAAATAAAAATAGGAATAATATTAAAATAAAAAATAAAAATAAGGGTAAATAAGCTAAAGTATACTTAAAATGTTACATTTTTATTAAAATGTCCGTATTAAATCATAAAAAGGCAATAAAAAATTGTTATAAGAGAAAATATTTTTTGTTAAAAAAAGAAAAGATTTTTCAATTTAAAAATATGCAAGTAAACGAAAATCAAATATATGTACAAATATAATAAAATCATAAATCATACGCAAATTAAAACTAAATTGAGAAAAAAAAATTTTGTAAGTTTACACTACAAAAATCTTTTTTATAATTATAAAACAATCAAAGAAGTTAAACTGCATAATTTTTAAAAACTATATAAATAAAAGTTCTTATGTTTTAAAATAATATTAAATACTTGAAGCCCATAATTTAAAAAACAAAGAATTTAGTAAAATTCGTTTCTAAATTCAGGAAAATTCTTAGGAATATGTTTTTAAGAAGTATATATTTTTAAATTTAAAAATGAATAATAAAATTTTAAAATAAAAATCTTAGTAAAAGATAATATATAGAGCGTAAATAATAGCTACAAATATAAAAAAATTATCTTTAATTAAAAAAGGTACAAAATAGAGGGCACATCACCTGTTTGACATATAGAGCTGGCCTAATTGAGTTAGCAATGCCGTTAGCAGCGCCTGGGCATTTGGACCAATACATATAGCACATACATACACACATATATTGCATATATATATACATATTTCAATAGATGTTACATATGTGTATATATGCATAAATTTTGAATTTAGCAGTTTTATTTTATGTCGCATGATATGGCAATGTGTGGTAGTTGGATATGGCCGGAATATAAATATATATGTATAGATATATATTTATATGCATATGTGACTGTGTGTGTGTGTGTGTAGTAGTAGTGTTAGTAAAAGTAGTAGGGGCACTCATGCTGGTACCAGACAAGAAATCAAATCAAACACAAAACATGTGTAAGGATCGATAAGTACAGAAGGTTAGTTTCGAAATAAAATATTTATATATAAATATATGTAGAGTTAAGGAAAGCAAAACGAAACGAAATAATGACAATGAAAAGGAGATATTTCCTTATTTTGTTTTTTTTTTTAAGTTAAATGCTTTTGATAGTTCCGTTACGTGACATTTACCTGAATGACTTCTCGACATATTTTGGTAGGTACGCCGTCCCATTGGACGTTGAAGTGTTGATAGTTGGAGTTGTTGTTGTTGTTGTTGTTGCACTGGCTATATCTGTGAGAGCTGGCTCTGTGCTAGGTTTGTTGTTCGACTGCCCGTTTGTTAGCTCATATTGGCTCAGATGGCTCTTGTGCCCATTGAGCTGGCCATTCGTCGTCGCACCTTGGGGCGTCGCAGGTGGCGTTGGCGGCAAGCCGTTCGCTATGGCTGCAGCTGTTGCTGTCGCTGCAGTTCTTGATTTGTTATCAGTTTGTACGTATGAGACTTGTGTGACTTGTTCTGTAACTCGGCTGTTGGGGAATACTTGAATTATTACGACGATCAACAAAGCGCACGAAATGAAAGTGAACGCAAAATATCGAGCGGGGAGCCGATAGCGCGTATATATTTATATATATAGATATATATATATATATATAGGCATGGTCACGAACACGAAACACGAAACACATTAGTTATATTAGAATGACTGAGAACTGCATTGGCTGCTTCGACTGGCTGTTGACTTCGTCGGTGCTCGTTTGATAATGAAATTGAAAAACAATCAAACAACAAACCAAATCAAAGAACTCAAAAACTGAATGAATTACTAAATATAGATATAGATATTGAGACACAACCAAAAACCGTTCCGAGAGAATCTGCCTAAAAGCGAAATACCTCTTAACATCGTACGTGTCGACAAGCGCCATAAAGCCATCCGGAAAGGCGATGGCATACGAGACCATAGCTGCCAGTTCCCCTTCACTCGACTCCTCCGTTGACACGTCCAGGACATGGGAAAGCATTTGACGATGCCGTATGGCATGCTCCAGTAAATCCTCCATTATGCCTGCACAGAGAGATTATAATATATACATTATTCTATTTATATATAGTTACTTGAAGCACTCACCCGTTTGCTTGTGCTTGAGCAGCCGCGTCTTCAGCTCGCCCACGCTGCTAAAGCTTGTGATATAGGCATGGGCGTGCGTGCCCTTGACGGGTATGTTGAACAGTTTGCCAGCCAGCACATTGGAGGTGCCATCAAAGCCACCTAGAAGTGGAAACGAGAGTGTATGAGATGTTATATAGCTCTAACAGACAGATAAGACAACTTCTCTGTTAATGCTTAAGCATCAGCTGTTAACATTCACACTAACAGTGACTGTAATGTTAAAGTCGCATTTGTAGTAAGCAAATTAATAAGTTTACCTTAATCAAAAATAATAATAAGCTTATTTAACAGCTGTGTTTAAGAGATGTTACTCTTATGAGAGAACTCTGTTAATGTTTTAATACAAGTTTCCAAACAAACATTGACTCTAACATAAAGTTTTAATTAAGCTGTTATTATTGAAAGTGAGGTTTGAGTACACTGTTATGCTTTATTCCTACTGCTTTTACATAAGCTGTTAACTGCCTAATGTTAATTGAATGTTGGCTGTTATGTTAATACAAAGCTGTCTAGAGTTGTATATGCAAGCTATAAAGTTGGTCCAAATGTTAAGAGTAGTTAAGATACAGTTAAATAAGAAAATAGTCTGTTAGCTTTAACATAAGTAGGCTCTTATGTCTTTCGCTGCTACTTTAACGAGCTCATGTTATGCTTTATATAGTTAAGAACAATATGTGTTCTACCAACTTTCAATTGTAGTAAGCTGCTGTTAGTTTCAAATACTCTGTTAAGTCTGGACATCACTTAACATTGAACTCAAATTTTAAGACTAAGCGCAGTTCTAGATTACTCTTTACATAGTTCTAATGATATACGTTTTCGAGTCTAAACTTACAGTGAGCTAAATGCTCTGTTAAGCCGCTCTGTTAAGGCTTAACATTAATTAACATTAGGCTCTACTTTTAAAAGTTTAAGCTGTTGCAGCTTTTGCTTTTTTACATAACTCAAACTATATTTGTTTATTTGCTTTAACTTGTGCCAGCTTTCATTTAAAAATTAACAGCTGCTTAAAATTAATTAACATGTGTCTTATGTTAACTGTCGCACTGCCGCTTTCTCTTTGGTTATCTAACATTTCTATCACATTTTGCTCTGCCTAACGTCAACTGTTACAAGTTTCAGTTAGATTTGAAGGCGCTGTTGAGCTGTAGCTGAAAGCCTTTGAAGACCTTGGACGCGTGAGTCACGCGTCACGCGTCACGCGAATATATCGATTGAGAATCGAGTAAAAACCCAGATTGAGCCTATCATAATTGAACGCATTACAAAATTTAAGCACAACTGCCAGGCAAACAGCAATTTTGCTGATGGCCAAAAGAGTTGTAAAAGTACGAAACAAAAAGTTACGATGTGTGAGCGCCAATTGAAATTTAGGTGCCAGCCGGCGATAGGTACGTATGGGCGAGCGCCTACCCGCCACACACATGGAGAACAAAAGTTTCTGCAGTTGGCCTAGGGCATTGCGTGTGCCACCCACTTTTGAACAACACATGAAGAAGTTCTTGAACTTTACAGTGTGAATGGAAGCGAGACAAAAGGAAAAACTGTTTAGCATTATAACAAGGCAAAAGCCCGGAGCCCACATCGAGTGACAGTGACACGTGCTTTGCATGCAAGCACATCATAAAAGACCAAAAAGCCGAAGTCAAATATGAAATAGCTGCTGCAGCGATCAATGGCAATGGGGAATAGACTATCCGGGCGGGCGCTGCTTTCATGGCGTATTTGCTTTTTAATTGATTACGACCCAGCTGCATGCAATTTGGCAATGCCGAAAGCAAGCCAACTGTGATATATCTTTTCGCACACGTTTGACCTTAGCTGTCACACCTGTATAGGAATACTTCGATGCGGAGAGCCCGCCATCCGGACCCTGCGCCCGCCGCAGCCCGAACTCCAATAGCTTCACATGTTTGCCAGCCACCATGCGATAGCGCGCTGCATTTGTCGCCATTAAGCTGCGACAATAAAAAAAGAAGAGAGAAATGCTCACATTATTATTGTGTTGTGTTCCCAGCCCACTTATCGCCCGCTCACTCACCTGGCATAGTTAACAAGCGTCAGCAGCGTTGTCTCCAGCAGCTGCACGATTATCAAGGGTCCTTCCAGCTTTATGATCGGCACGCTGTTAAAAATAACAGTTTAAACATGAGAATGCTACAGATATGGCGGGATTAACTTAGATATCATGCGATATATATATATATTATATACACTAACATCATATATATATATATATATATATATATATATATATATATATATATATGTTTCAATTATATTTATTATCTCATTAAAGAACGTTTCATTTCTTAGAAAATTAATTTTTAAAATATTTAAAATATTTTTCAAAATTTTTTTCTTATAATTTTGGAGAATATTTTTTTATAAACCCTAGCGTTACATAGACTATATATACACTAACATCATCTGACTTTTACTTAACATTTTCATATCTTTTATGAGCTAATCTCACATATGTACGGCATGTTAAACAATTAACAGCCATGTTAAGCTACTTTTAAGGTACATAAATAGCTGAAAGTTTCACAATTATGAATTTACATTAATAATAGCAAGAATCTAAAAATTCTACTGTTAACTGCCAACTTCATGTTAATCAGTTAACAGTATGTGCAAATACTTTCACGCTATTACTCTTAATATGCCTGTTATCAGTTAACAGTCATGTTAAAGCGCTCTTACTAGACCTATGTTAACTAAATCTTACACATAAATTAGCGAATATGAATCATATTAACATAAAATGTTATACTTTAACAGGCATGTTATTCATTTATTATGCATATTAAATATAATGTTAAAGCGCTTTTAAGCTTGACAAGTTACAATGCTAAAACTTGGCATTGATTTATAAATAAGCTAAAGTTATGTAATAATTTTCGCCAACTTTTACTATTAACATGAATTTAACATGCATGTTAAACTATAAACATTCATGTTAAGTCTTCCAGCTACCAATTAATATGCCTGTTTAATCTTTTAGCAGTATTTTTAAGTCTTTTACGCTTAGACATGCATGTTAAACTTTTAACAGTCCTGCTAAAGCGCATGTTAGGCCTAAAACCAACCTTATAGCTTAACTCACCGAGGAAATGCCACCGTGCCCTCATCTATAGCATAGAGCGTAACATCATGAGCTGTCAAATTGCCCAAATACTCAAAGAATTCGTTCTCAATGCCCTCGGGCAATGTTTGACGCAGGTATTCAATATCTGTAACAGAATAAAATATATTAAAGACATGAAATGAGAGTCAAATAACACTAGGCAACTTACCGCTCTGCGAATAGTGAAAGCTGTCCAAGAACTTCAGACACTCCTCCAGCCCCGCGAATATGGTAAACTCGCCATGGAATGGATTGTTGCGAAAGAAGAGATCAAACACGGCTTGATCATCCGTTTTGCCCGATTTCCAGTAGGCATAGGCCATTGTTATTTGGTATAAATCTGCCATTAAGCACAAAATAGGTTAAAGATAATGCCGATAAGCCAACGTGCGATAAACACACTTTCAGATTAACTTTATGACACGAGGCTGCCAACATCCATTTGTTGTCTTAATCATTAGGATAGATAGATAAGATACGCTCAGAGTTCACAGTCTGTGCATAATTGCACAGACAACAACAACGCAAATAAATGCAAATACAGCCAGATACAAAGATCAAAGATCTCTCTCTCTCTCTCTCTCTATCTATCTATCTATATATAATATAATGAAAATAGAATACAGCTAAAAATGTAAATGCCAAACAGGAGTTGCAACTAGTCTAAATATTTTATTTTAAACAGCTTATCGAATCAAATGAACTATATATAGATCTGATTCTAATCGCTATATTTTGGAGTACTGAACAAATGTATGCATCAAAATATAACTATAAAAAGTCCATAAGTCTATCAATTAATAAAGCTCTCTGTGCTAATAATCTATTTATTTATATTTAGCTATATACTTAACTATATAGCTAAGTTACATCTTTATAACTGCCTGAATATGTTTACCAATATATATACCTTAATCAATCAATACATATCATATCAATATATATAATATATATGTTTATAATCTGATATCTCAGCACATCTAGCTTTTGTGAAAATATTATATAACAGGCAGAAGCAGGCGTGGCATAGCCCATAAGCTATATACGCATTATCAAACCGACGAGCTGAGTTTATCTAACCAAGTTCGTCCGGCCATTCGAACTCGTTAGCGACAAAAGCTAGAAACTTTAAGTTTTTGTATATATGTTCCCGTAAGCTCACTACGATTTATCATATTTTTTCGATCTCATGCCATTTTCTTACTATCGATAAAAATCGATCATTTGAAGTGATTTTTAAGCGTAGCTTGAACACCACAAAATCTAGAGATTTCACATTTGCTGTATAGTTTCTTGTAAAGAACACGCAATTTATAAATATTTTGATTTTTGGATAGCTCGCGGCAGAGACAATAGCAGACAGAGTCGGATACTCCCAACTAAAGTAGCATTAATTGTTCATTTTATTTATATAGAAGAGCATTTTCAGTTTCAGAGTCTTGTTATTATTATGCTTGATTTTTGTTTATTGTTTTGCCAGCTAATGTGAGACATTTAAATAGTTCTTAAGTGAATCACTTTCTTCATAGATGCGGGTATTTAATGTAGCCTTACTTTATTCTTTCTTGAAACAGTTGACGTCATTTAAAAATATTTCTACAGATTCGCCTTAATCCATAATTGCTTATAGGAAACCTAATGAGAAGCTATGCGAGCTGAAATTATAAGGCTGGACATGATTTACTGCAGAATTGACTAATTTATGACTTGACTCAAATATTAAAATAATTTGGAACAAATAAAGCTAAAGAGACTTAAATTGTATTTGGTATAAGAAATAAATATACTTAGATATTCTTAAAAAATTAATATGTTAATATTAATTAATTAATTAATTAATTAATAATTAATTATTATTATTATTATTAATTAATTAATTAATTAATTAATATTTATACATTTTATTATATATATTATATATATATATTTATATGGCTCGATATTTATTTATCTATTTGTTCATCTTTCAATCTATAATTAATCTATTTTATATTATAAAACTAAACTAAAAAAATTCTTAAAAATTTTCGTATTTTTTTTTAATTTTTAATTTTCATAAACTCTATCGAAAATACATCATTTCTGTTGTGCTACCATTGTATATGTATTTAAGAAACATAAACAAAAAAGTTTAGTTGCTTGGTTTTTCTTACCAGTTAATAGAGGCTGGACAACTCCATTCTGATTCATGCGTCCGCGATCCATAAATTGGCCGCCCGAATTGCAGCTCATTTCACGGTCATTCATGATCAAGAGTTAATATATTTCTTATTTTTCTTATATTTCGTTGTTGTTGTTACTGATTTTTTGTTTTGTTTGTTGTTTGTTGTTTACGATGGCACGTTTATAGGTCGTTCACATACACAAATCGTGCCAAATGGGTGAGACTTAATTAAATATTCTTTCAAATTTAATTTCGAAAAGTTGCTGAGTTCAAAAGTCTGGTATATATGTATATATATGTGTATATATTTTAAGATATCTGTAAAAATTTATAAATGGAAAGCTTTGAAAACCGTTTTGAGCCCCGCCAAATGACGTAAGCTAAAATATTTAAGAGCACACGCTGCCTTTAAATACTGGGTTAATTAAATGCGAAAAAATTAAAAAAAAAATAATAATAATAACATGAAATGCGAAAAAAAGGAAAAACAACTACAACATTGCCACTTATCAATACGTTTTTTGCATACGTCTGTCTTATCAATTGGTTTATCACTGCGAGCAATTGGGAAGAGGAAGGGCTGACGTGCAATGATTATTGAGAAAGCACAGACACTATTCAAATTCAAATCACTTTTTCGCCATTCAGAATTTATCGCGCGAGCTAAACTTTTTCGCTAAGCGTTTCAAGCTCAACTGAAACACACACAAATTGCGAGCGAGCGAGTTAAAAACACAAAAAAACAACGGCAAAATTTTCGCTGCGCGCAGAGACGAGCGCGCGTTTAACGTTTGCTGGGTTGCAGCATACGAAATGTGCTGGAAAATTTGTTTGCTGGGTGAATTTGTTGATTGTTGTTACTTAGCAGCCGGGCCAGAGTGAGCGTGTGAAAGAGAGAGCGTGTGAAAGAGAGAGAAAGAGAGAGAGTCTGTGGGAGTGGAATGAGCATTAGGGTTTGGCGGGCTGTTTTTTTTTTGTGTATTAGGTTTGTTTATTTCGGCTGCTGCTGGTGCTGCTGCTGCGGAAATCTATTGATTACACACGTGAGGCGCTGTTATAGTTTGCCTTTGGCTCACAACATGTTGCACACAGGCAGCCGTCGCAGCAGCGCAGGCATTAAGCCAGTGAAGGTTGCCTGAAGGTCGGCGGGGCGTACTCTCACACACCCGAATCAGCGCGCGCGGGCAAGTCAAGAGACGTGCTCAAAGGAGAAAGACAATAAAAAACACAAATTGTGCGTACATTTTTTCAGTAACTGCGTGATAGCAGCGGATCTGATGCAATTGCTGCAACGGCTGCCACACTCACTTTCACTTTTTGCGCACGTTTCAATTCATAATTTATAAAATTTACGGCGCTAGCCTTTTTGTTAGTAGAGACTGCACATAGAACGCGACCAGCTGTGCACAATTGTATTTTATGGACTTATTAACAGTTACACATTTAGCTATATAAATTTATCAATTGCCTGTGGCACATACAGCAACTCGTTGTTTTTGACTGTGTATTTTTATTAAACTTTACTGCAGAAGCTAAAACAACTAAACAAATCCGTATGCGAGTTGCAAGCGCTCTCAGCTGATAAGAGAGCGGAGCTGCCAACTTGCTGCAATGCGCTCTTATAGGTCAGGTGAAGCAATGCGTTGATTTGCGCTCTGCTGTGATGTCACAGCTGTTAAGCCAAGCATATGAGGCAAAAAATTTAAATAATATAGTAATGGTAGAATGGTAGATAAAAATTATATTTAGTAAAACTCTTATTTCTTAACAATTCAAAGGAAAATGTACCAAATTTGTCTGTCACTTTTACTTGTGTATACCCCTATTTCTATTGCAATATACACCGTTTTATTAGCAACTTATATGCTTTCAATGTTGTAAAATGTTTTAGAAAATACAATACTTTATACTTATTTCACTTGCATTATTTATCTACTTTCTCTTCTTTGTCGTTGTCCCAATTATTTTTGACTAAATTTAAGCTTTAATAATAATAAATTAAAGCCTTTAATTTTAAGCTTTCAAATTTCCGCATTTAAAATTCAACAGCTGTGACGTCACAGTTCTTTGTGCATTATCACAAAGGTGCGCCACTTAGCCCATTGCCATCAGTGTTGGAAAATGTTCAAAAAGTATAAGAATTAAACCGCGTTTTATTCAACTTCAACTTCTGCATTATTAACATCCGCTGGCCAATCCAAATCGATGCCAACCACATCTAAAGCTAATATATCAATAGGTTTGCCTATGATGGATGATATGGAAGGTGTGGTTCGTCCAAATTCGCCATGAACCAGCTCCTTGATATAAGTGCCCGCCTGACTGACCACATCGATGATAAGCAAACGCCGATTCTCCCGGCTTACACACGTTTTAACGCTGTATATACTCCGAGGTCTTGTATGGAGTGGCCTGCGGTGCAAGACACGAATGGGTGTTTTTTGTTGTATGATAAAGCTTTCCGAGATTTGCAACCTCTTCAAAATGTCCAATGTAACGGGCTCGTTGAGCACGCAGAGAGCGCGATAATATTTTCGCTTTTGCTCCTCGCCCGTTTTGATGTGTGTCAGCTCCTCGCGCGGCACCACCTGCAGATTGTGTATGGATACCTTGCCAGACCGATCTACAGCCAGCTCCATTTGATGGGCTTCCTGGCGGCTTAAGCTGCTGCGGCGCGCATTCATAATTTCGAGCACAAAGGGTCGCCCTTTGCCCAGACAGCGCACGTCAACGTCCTCTCGGCCGCTGGACATGAAGGTAACCTTGTCCAGAGTATCACTGAAATGCGGCGCCACCTGTTGAACAATTATTTCCTCAATGCTCTCCTCCATAATTCGCTTGCCTTGCAAAACCCAAGGCGTATGCGAAAGCTCCCGACTTAGTTTCCGATAGCGTCCAGCTACACAGACAATGGGACCCATTAGATCAATGGATTGCAGTTGCAGTGGATCCTCAACAGCAGCCGGTGGTATGGCTAGATATTTCTCGAAGAGTTCTGCCTTAATGCGTGCTGGTTGGTATTGTTTCTCGAGTAAACCACGCGAGATTTCGATACGTTTCTTTCCAGGAAACGCCGCTCGATTCAGCTCGGTTAGTTTGGCTACCTCCTCCGTCTCTACGCTGTGCCGCACATCAATGTTGATCATTAGACCATTGGCATCATACTCCTTGCCCAGTTTCGAGCATACGATAGGATGCAGAATCAATTTGACGGCCTCCTTGATGGGCACATCCGGGGCACAATTATCATTGAAGGTGCTTTTGCCAAATTTTCGTTGAAGGGCGAGCCACATGGACAGCTGGCGTAACTGCAACGTCAGAGGTAGAGTTATAGCCAGAACAATACCCTCGCTGTCATAATTGGCAAAATCCGACTTCGAAATCGCTTCAATTAACTGACTTTGAAATTCGTCCGAAAAGAGACCCAAACAAGTGGAGCAAATGGCCAAACGCTGCTTTTTTGGCGGCTGTTCATCTGACTCATCTTCTGGCGTCTTTATATCAGTCTCTTCTACTTTAACATCCAGCTAGAATTAAGATCTTCTGTATTTTTTTAAGCCGCTTAATTTTCATGAATTTTTTTGCTCACGCGCTGAAATGTTTGCTGCATGTTGCGATATTCGTTACCGCGTGCTTTCAAATAACGCAGCTGGCATACACGGCAAACTCCACAGCTTGCCAAATAATCAATTAACTCCTGGTTTTTCATTTTTCTTTAATACTTAATTCAAATAAAATTAAATTAAATCAAATTTAACTTTAACTTTGCGATGTAAACAAAACGTGCTAAGAAAACATCGTTTGAGAACACTGCTAAAAGTACTAATCGATTATTTTGGCGGTTTCAGTGTGTCAGCAGATCAACACTTGTAAAAAATACTGCACTCAATTATCTTTCAGTGCAACCTAACGACAGCTGGTTTTTCAGTGTGACCAGCTTTGCGGCCACAATTTATCGGCTGTATATTGTCAAATATTTCCATTTTTCTTTTGATTGCAATTTAAGGTGTGTTTTATGTGTTTTACGTTCTTTATGCGACATACTAATAGTTAAAGGGCCGCTAAAGCTACTGCAAGTGATCTAACATGTTGTTACAAGCCAGCATAAAGCATTGTTATTGTTACGTCACAGAGTGACAAGAAAATACTTCTAACTAGACTGCGAATAATATAAATTTTAAATATATATTTAGGAGCTGCCGAAATGTCGCTGACGCCCTTCCTGCGTTTGCCACTCACCGATTTGACCGGTTGTCTGATCAATCATCAGACCTACGACAAATGCGGCCAATTCGAAATGAAAATGATGGACTGCCTGGAAGCCTACGGCGTGGAACGCGGCAAAAAGCAGTGCGCCGATCTAATTGGTGATTTCCAGGAGTGCGTGGGCATGCAGAAGCAGCTGCTTCGTTTCCATGTAAGCTTTATTTTTCAAATATTAGAAGTTGAATGATTATTGGTTATTTTTTATTTCTAATCCAGGCCATGCGTGAAGAGCGCTATAAGCAATGGCTGAAGGGTGAACGCAAGCGGGAGGAACTGTTTGCTGAACCGCCGCGCGTTGATGCATATTAAGGGAATTATAGCTACTGTAGCTGAAATATGTTTTATAGCTACTGTAGCTGAAATATGTTTTAAATAAAGAAAATTATTCTAATATGTAAAAAGAAAGAGTAAATAGTTTTGTTGTTTTGGTATTTTGCCAGTGTTGGCTAATGAATGTTTTTCAACACTGCCAACAGATAGATTCAAGCGAGTTGGCAGCTCGAGCGTTTGTTTTTGCGGCAGAAAAGTCGCTCGCTTACGTTTAATTAAATTTTCTTAAATAAAATGGCCACAAAGCGACCCAATAATAGTGTAGTGCTGGCGCAAGAGCCCAAACGCAGCAAAAATGACATTGTGGCATATACAAATCGAGACAAAGCGCTACTGGAATCGGTAAGCAGAATGAACATGATGATGATGAAGAAGAAGCGTGTTTGGTATGGAAGATTTTTAAAGTCTTGTGGAGAGTGTTCTTCTATGTTAGACAAGTGAAAAAAAAAGGCAAAGGTGGGATATAGAAAACACAGTAACGAAGCCTTAAAGCATATTAGTTGCGAATTGCTAGAGACTTTTTGAAACACTTGATATAAGCTGTACTATATATATTACTGATCTGCTGCTCGACCACAAAATCTTCCATATGTCACTCCAAGCTACAAACTTCTCTCTCAATAGTTCCTTCTAATCAAATCCCATTTCAGGGCGTGCGTCGCACTTCCAATCTGCAAGCGCCCATCATGCAGCTGGAGGGACATGAAGGCGAAATATTTACCACAGAATTTCATCCTGAAGGCGAAATGTTGCTCTCCTCTGGTTTCGATAGGCAGCTGTGTAAATTATCACTTCATATTTACAGTTATTTCTGTTTAGCTAAACTACATCCTACTTTTAGATATCTGGCAGGTATATGGCGAGTGTGAGAATATAATGGCCATGTCTGGGCATAGTGGAGCCGTCATGGAGGCGCACTTTACGCCGGATGGTTCGCATATATTCACCTGCTCCACAGACAAAACGCTCGCCATTTGGGACATTGTGACAGGCCAACGAGTGCGACGTCTGAAAGGCCATACGAACTTTGTGAATAGTGTGCAAGGTTCGAGGCGTGGTCAGCAGCTGTTGTGCTCTGGCAGCGACGATCGCACCATACGCATTTGGGATGCACGCAAAAAGCAGCCAGCGCATGTCCTCGAATCGCCCTTTCAATTGACAGCCGTTTGCTTTGGCGATACCAGCGAACAGGTTATTAGTGGTGGCATAGACAACGAGCTGAAGATCTGGGACATACGCAAACAGCAGGTGTTGCATCATCTGCGTGGCCATACGGATACAATTACAGCGGTTGCTCTCTCCCCTGAAGGAGATTTTGTCCTAACAAATGCGATGGATAATACACTGCGTGTTTGGGACGTGCGCGCCTATGCGCCTGGCGAGCGTTGCGTCAAGGTTTTCCAGGGCCATCAGCATAACTTTGAGAAGAATCTACTGCGCTGTGCCTGGGCGCCAGGTGGTGACAAAATTAGCGCTGGATCAGCGGATCGACATGTCTATGTTTGGGATGTGAACACGAGAAGAATACTGTACAAGTTGCCTGGACACAATGGCAGCGTGAATGATGTGGACTTTAGTCCGAAGGAGCCCCTAATATTGTCGGCCTCAAGCGATAAGACGTTGTATCTAGGCGAGATTGAGGATTAGCTTCTGTTGCTGGGAATTTGAGAATTAGCTGTTAGATTTTGTAACTAGGGGAGACTTAGGAGCAGTTGCTAAAGTTTAGATGAGAACGAATTTGGGCAAGACATAGAACTAGATTGAAACTAAATGTTTCATTCTGTATCTGAGCTGGACTAAGAACAGATTTAAGATTAGCAATTAGATGCTTTCCTAAGTCAGAGTTGACTGTCTATATGGCCTAGTTTAAAGACTAGCTACTAATGTGTATATCTAATCAAGCTCAAAGATCAGCTCTTCATCCTCATAACTAAGACTTGCTAATAGACCCTTTTTCTATATCTAAACTACAGTTCTTCCAGCTAATTCTTACATCTAAACAAGTTTCAATCTTAAGCCAGCGCCGCGTGTATCACAAATAAGTTTTATTTTTCTGCATTGTCATAACGATTAATAAATAATTTGTATTGTATAATTTGTAAAAATGTTTTTGCATAATTTTGGTACGATTTTAGACAGGCAGCGCGCTGGACGAGCTGGACACGCTGCTCTTGAAGAGCTGGCCAAAGAATTTGAGGCCTGTAGCACCACCAGGCACCATGCCCAGCAGCATGAAGAGCAGCGTTATGATCTGGCCGACGGCGAAGAGAACCGTAAAGGCCGTACTCTTAGCAACCAGAGCGAAATAAAGCGTTGAGATAAGGCACGCGCTGTAGGAGATGGATGTGACGAGACGTGGGCGCGAGAACATTTGCTTGAAGAATGCCTGAAAGCCGATGAGAAAGCAAAAGCTCAATATGAAGAAAAGGCTACCCAACGTGAAGAGCAGCGCGAATTTCGGCTTAAGCATTAAAACTGGAATATAGAGCGTGGACAGAGTCATGCAGAGGCAGCCCATGCCCAGACAGGCGACGAAGCCGACAATGCGCTGTAGTCGGGACTGTAAATCGAAATTGGCATTTATATTGTACAGTCAGTTAATTGATCATTGCGCATTTACCAGCTTTGGGCAACAGGAGTCCTGTGTGTCCTTCAGCCAACTATTTGCCTCGGGCTGTTCGCTTGTGCGCGAGAAGATTTGCGCCAAGCCGGGCACTTTGATCTGTGGCAGCTTGACATTGAAGTTTTTCTTTTGGTCGCTCTGCAGCAGTAAATACTCATCGAGATCCTGCTTTAAGTTGCTCATTGAATCGAATGCCACCGCATAAATATTTTTAATAATCGTAATTGTTTTTTGTTTACTGCCAACCCGACAAGCAACTGCCTCTAAATTAATATGGCAGCGCTGACCAGTGCTGGAAAGCACAAACTCAAATGGCGGTTGATGTTCCAATTTTTAACATTACACAGTTTACAATTGTTTGTTGTTATTGTGTTTAACTGTCAACGCTATAAGCAAATGCCTCTAAATCAAGATTTCAGTTATATTTAAGTATTATTTGTATACGTGTTCAACACATTCTTTAAGCAATTAGTAACTTCATCAATTTAAAAAACATGTTCAACTTATTCTACGTCTGACGTCACAAATGCAATAAGCCACAGTGGTACAGCACTAGAGTTGCTCTGCCAACGTAGCTTAATTGAAAAATACACTATTTCTTCCCCTCTCATATCGTTGGCGTTGCCATACTTTTGTCGATGCCAGCCCTCATAATTCAAATCTGGCAACCCGGCAATTCTTTCAGTTTCAGTTGAATTTTTGTCGTGGTCGGTTCGTTGTCGCTGCGCGCGCGGCAAATATGTAATTAAACTGAAATAAATTACAAGCAAAATTGATAATATTCAAAACGCCGAACACACGCAGAAATTAAAAAGTATATTGAAATAATTCGCATGATAATATTTATTAAAGCAAATTACACCCTCCGCTGCCCCGCCCCCATCTCAAATACAAAACGTCGCGATTCCATGCAAACGGCTCTGGCTCTTCTATTTATGCAAATTGTATAAATGCATGTATGAGAGTGTGTGCGGTGTCGGAGCGTACGCGCGCTTGTGTGTGTGAGTGTGTGTGCGCGATTGTGTGTGCGTGTGCATAAGTTGATGCATGTGTGTGCGTGTAGGCGATTGTGTTTATGTGGGAAAACGCATTAATTACACAAATACAAATGCAAATGCAAATACAAATACAACAAATGTAAATACAAATAAAAATACAATCAAACACAAACAAAAACAATACGTAAAAGCAGCACTAGCCGCCGACAAAAGCCAAAAAAGTATTTTCAAACGCAATCTAAATACAAAAGATAAATACAAAAATAATTCTAATAGAAAAAAGAAGAAAAAGTTGAGCAGCAAATTTTTTATTGTTTTTTGCGCAAATTTCAGAAAAATAAATTACAAAAAAAATGCATTTGTGTTGGGTTTTTTGTTGTTGAATCGAATTCGACAAATTGCCCAAATTCCAAGTGAAAATCGCCGATAAATGAAAATTCATGAGAATTAATGAAAATCTTTTGACTCCCGGCTCGCAGCGAACTGTAATACGGGATCGTTTGGAGGTCTTTGAAATTTGAAAAAAAAGAAAGAAAATGCAAAAATTTCAAATACAGTCCAAAACGATTGGAAAATAAGCGACGATCGCCAACTGGAAATGGTGTAAGTACGTTAAACTGGAAAGCCTTCCAGCTAGCAAACCTAAGCAAAGCTAGTTGTATTTTAAATACCAAAATAATACTAATACATTTTCTTCTTTGCAGCTCTCAATGCAATTGGTAAGGAAACAAATCAGCAACTGGAATGAAAAATTAAAAAAAAAATTCGAAAAAGTGTTTATAAAATAATACGAAATATATTAAATTGGCAACGCCAAAAGGAAAGTGCTGAAAGTGTTTAAAGAAAAAATTTGATATGTGTTAAAGTGTATTAAAAAGAGTTCAAACGAAATTTAAAGTTGGCAACATAAAGCTTATGCTAATTTTTCTAATTAACCAAAGAGCACAACTAAAATTATACAAATGGCATATATGTAAAATACATATATCGTACATAATACAACTGTATATAAGTGTGTGTATGTGTGTTTGTGTGTGTGCATACGCCCAGGACTCGATTCGTTGATTTCTGTAGAGCCGATCTACAAAGCTGCGCAGCACAAAGAAAAATGGCACAACGATTGGGACAGAGGCAGAGGCAGCTCCAGTTTTGGGGCCTGGGGGCGCTGCGGTCGCTGTCGCTGCCAACGTCGTCGTCGTCGTCGTTGTAGTAGTAGCAACAGCAATTAACTCGAAAGCAAAGAATTTCATCAGAAATTCAAAGCACATAAGGCGAACGGATGACGTGCAACGGGCTGAAAAATAACGAGGCAGCGGCGGCGACGCCAGCAGCGGCTACAACAGCGACAGCAACAGCGACGTTTAAATTGTTGTAGCAAAAATCCAGGCTGACAGCTCCCCCTCAACGAGTTGGCAGCAGCAACAACAACAAACTAAAAGTAATATGGCGCTGCTTCAGCATATGTATTAGTGTATGTTTGTGTGTATATATTTGAGCCCCAACAGCGAACAACGCAAATGAAGTAGAGAGAGCGAGTGCGCATATATGCGCTATGTGAGTGGAAAAGAGATGGCGCTATGGTATGGAGAGAAATTGTCGTGTCGCGTTTTGCTGCAGCGTCGTTGTCGCTCGACGTCGTTTGTCGCTCGTTCAAAAATCGATTCAGCTGCACGAAACGAGAACGCGCGCGTGCAAGCGAGAGATCCGACTATTGACTATAGGTGTGAGCGAGCTGCCGAATGCAGTAAAACAACAACGAAAAACTTATTTAACCCGTTTCGTGTGCGTGCGCGTGCGCCTGTATGGATGTGTGTATGTGTATGAGCTGCTAGAAACTACGTTGTACGACAAAAACTACAAAAGTTTCTGTATTGTTGGCGTTGGAAGCGTCGCGGCATGTGGTGGCATCCGCAGCCGCCCCGCATCGTTCTTCCCCTCCTCTGAGACAACATTGCAAATGCGGTCGTCGCACGACTATACAACTGTATATGTGTTTGTGTGTATATGTGAATGTGTGTTTCTGTGTGTGTGGTCACGTAGTAGCGCTACAAAAATGACTGCATAGTTCGCTGACTACAAAGACGAAGAAGAACAAGCAGAAAACTGGTTTGGTCGCTTCTTCTTCTGCCTCGGGCAGAGCAGCGACAGCGGCAGCAGCAACGGCAGCGACAGCAGCTGCTGGCATATTAATGAAATTCGAATTCTAGCCAGAGCCAAAGCCGCCTCTTTTAATGGGATTTTGCAAAATGTTTTCTATAAATGGTCACAGCTTTTAGCCATAAATGTCGTAGTTGCTGTAATATTTAAGCCAAATAAGTTTTTCAAATGGCCACAAAACAAAATGGCTGCCAGACAAAAGACGAAGAAACGAACAAACGCAAGAAGTGGACGGAAAAAGAGATAAACGAGGCGACAGAGACGCACAAATTGAACAGAATTTGTATTTAGTTGTTGTTTTCGGGTTTCTTTTCGGTTTTTTTTTTTTTTTTTTGATTATAAATGTATTTTCGAAATTCTTTGGTATAGATTTTTGCACACGTCGACAAAGGCGGAAAAAGCTCAAGCCCAAAGCAAACAGCAGCAGCAGAATTAGCAACAACAAATATAATAAAGCGATTTTGAACCGCACCCCACCAGGCATACAAAGCGACTGATGCGCAGCAGCGCTGATGCTTTAGTACAGCCAGGCAGCACCAAAAACTTTCACGATCGATTCGACGTCGACGTCGGTAGAGGCAGCCACAGCAATGGCCGCCGCCATAAGCTCTCCAACTGGGGCCTCTCTCTGTATGCGTATGCGTGCGAATGTATCAGAAATAGCGCTTTTGTGTGTGCACAAGCGAGATGGAGTATTCGACGCCCGCTAGCGTCTGCGCGTTTTGTACAGGCAGCAGCAGCACACATGCAACCAAACACACAATGTAGGTTTAGCAAACACACATACATACATTTGAACATAAAGTATTTTTATGGACTTCATTTTGCGTGTAGTTGTGATTTCCTGCTGCGCCCCAAACGTACAAAGGGCCCCAAAAACGTAGCAAATGGCAACAACAACAATAGCAGCTACAAAACTACATTTTATGCATGGCCATATCACAACGTCGTCATCGTCAGTAGTCGGGGTACGAAATGGCTGAAAAAAAACGTGAAATAACAACGCGCGTTCCCAAAGCACCCCTCATACACAAACACATACATACAAGCTGTATGTACACATGACTACATAACCATTTAAAAATACACAGCAGCAGCAGCAGCGACGGACAACAACAACAATGACGAACGGCAAAAACAAACTCAGAAGATACTCGTTTTTCCATGCCATGCCCAGGCAGAGGCAGCAGCAGCACAAAAAGTACCAGCTATAAATTCTTTATGTACATAAAAGTATATAACACACACTCACACACATGCACACTTACTAAACACGTTTGTATGTATGCGTGTGTGCGCACTGAAGCAGCAACAACGGGCCATTAAAACCTGTCGCTCTATCTCTCTCGCACTACAGGCACCCCACTTTGCGCTGTGTGTGTATGTCAGCATGTGTGTGAGTAGTAGCTATAACAACCACGTCAGACAGCGGTGGCAGCGACGGCAGCGCAGCAGTTCAGTGCAAACGTCAATTATAAGCAAACACACACCAATGGCAACGTTGCCAAACTTCACACACACATACGCTACACAGCGTTTACACGACAGAGAAAGGGAGAGCGCGTCTCGCATTAGTCAGATAGTGTGAGCGAGAGCTGCTGCCGTAGCAGCGGCGACGTTGCCAAACTTCATCATCAACAAAAGGCAGCATGAATGTTGTTCTTGTATTTCCATGTTGCCTGCTTTTTGGAATTTTAACATGCGCCCCGCTTGGCTTGGCTCGAGCTGGATTTCTTTTTTTTCGTTTTCCTTATTTATTTTGTTGTTGTTGTTTTTGGCCGGTTTGTGGATTGATGGCGTTGTGGTTCTTGGACCCGGTCCGGCTGCCTGCTTTACTGTAACGTTGACTGGATTATAATAACTCGCTGTCGACGTCGACGTTGACGTCGCTGCTAGCATTTTCCACCTTATACTGTGGCTGTCGTTGTTGTACAGAAAGGAAATGCGCGCTGCAGAACAGTACCCCAGACCCTATTATATAGATGTATATATGTACATATATATATCTGTGTAGAGACTACACGCGATAGTCTTTATATGCAGCCCCTGTCCAGCGCCTTGCCTTGCCTTTTAAATTGAGCGCAAAGATCTTGCGTATCTCATAGATACAATGTGTATATACAGATATATATATATATGTTCTTGTTGACCGCCCCTATTGAAATTTCAATAAATTTAAATTGCTCTCTAGTTGAATTAAATTAAAACATTTCTGTGTATTTTTAGTGCTAAATTAACATAAATTGGCAAAAGCTTTTGTCGTTGCGGCCACATGAAAACAAAAATTACAATAAAAAGTGCTTAAATTAAAATTAAAAAAGTGCAAAAAGTGTTTTAAAAATTATTTAAATATATATAGTTAATATTCAATAATATCATGAATGCTAAAGCTAAAATCTTCCCCCACTCAATCTATTTACAGCCCATGCTTAAAAAGCCGTTAATCGAATCTAACGATCGATTAATCGATCTGTTGTGTGTGCGAAAAAGAAAAAAATAGCAAGAAAATGCAAGAAATCTAATTGAGAAATCCAGAATCCAGTGAGAAAGTAAAAAGTTAAAAGTATCTCGAAAATGTGCGAGTGAACGAGTTAAAGAAATCTTAAAATCAAAGTCAAGCAAAAGCAAAAGCTATAGAGTTAATGCTCTCTCACAAATCGGGATATTTGTTCAATGGGAGGAGCGCGCCCATTTAAAATTATGCGCCTCCACAACGGCATACGGGAAATGCTAAATAGATCGTGATCGTAAACGAAACATGGTACGCGACAGCAGCCGTAACATTTGTTTTGGAAAATTAGCCGAAACTACGCAGCAACAACAACAACAAATCGCCGTGGATAGTAGCAGCAGCAACAGCAACAGCAGCAACACCAATAACAGCAGCAACAACAATAATAATAATAATAACAACAACAACAATAATAATAACAATAACCAGAAACTACGCGATACATTAAAAAGGTAAGCAGCGATCTATGGTGAAAATATCTAAAAAAAGTTTAAGATAAGTAGAAAACTTTAAGAGAACAAGCTAGAAGAGGCTTGACTTAATATTATGAGAAAAATTAACTAATAAGAAAATCCCAGGTACACAGGTAGAAAGCAACAAGAAACATTTAAAAATAATTTTAAAATGTTATGTTAAAAGTAGAAAAAGTTGGGATTAATTTTTAAAAAATTTAAATCAATTTATATAGCTACAAAATAAACGTTGAAAATTTGTAAATATTGTAAGAAAATACTTCCAGTTATGGCCATATGATATAAAAATGCAGCAAAAGATACTTTAACATAGTTCAGATACTTTGAAAATACACCTCGAGTTTGTATCTATTTGAAGAACTTTTCAGATATTGCAGATATTTTCTTAAGATATACTTCTATATGACAGTTAGATAGATGGTTAGAAGTTGTAGATACTGAGTTGTAGATACTTGTGGATACTTTCAAATGCTGTCGGAATATATGGTATATTATTTTTTAATGTATTACAGAAACCCTTAGAAGATATATTCAGATACTTTCATATAGTGTCGATATTATAGAAAGATACATACTTTTATACATCTCAGATAATGCCACAAGATACTTTTACTATATAATAGATACTGCCACAAGATACTTTCATCTATATCACATACTCTAATAAAATATATTCAGCTATGCGCGGCTGCAACCCACAAGATACTTTCAGATATTGCCAGATACTTTCATGAATACATTCATATAATGTAGATATTATTAAAAGATACACTCCTTCAACTATTCCAGATACTTTTATTGTAAAAAGATACTTTTAGATATTTTACATACTGCCTTAAGATACATTCAAATATACGAGTTTGCAGCCAATGCTTTCAGATACTTTCAATTATCCCAGCTACTATCACTAGATACATTTCCCACACTTACCAAGAATAACTAAGATACTTTGGAATTTTCCTGCTTGTGTAAATCTGTCTCGCAGTTAGCTGGAAGTTTTCATACGTGGAATAAGCAAGAGATGCGTGTCTAAAATGCAACTCAGCCTGCAGCTGCGTAGGCCCTAAATCTAACTAACGGTTGACACAAAGCCAAAAACAAAAAAGAGAAAAATAAATAAGAAAAAATAAATATAAATGAAATGCAAAGTATCTCGAGTGGCTGCGCGTGGGTCTGCTCGAGACTCGAGATTTGAACCTCGAGCTACTTGCAGCGCCCACTGGCCGCAGTGAGTTGTCGTTGTCGTTGTTGGGCTTATCCGTCAGGGGGATCTGTGACACGTTGACTGCCTGCCTGGCTGCCCAGAAGTATCTCAAGATGCAGCTTAGCTGCATTTGTATCTGGCGCGTAAGTGGCCATGCCTAAAAAAAACGCGTAACTTTTTACCTTGACTTGTCGTCGCATCTTGCGCTGCTGCTACCTGCGCGCCTCTCTCTGTGTTGGCCAACTGTGTGGCGACGTGTACAGTAAAAATCGACACGAGACGGACATGTGGCCACTGTCGTCGTCTATTTTGCGTTATTACGTAATTTCGTACACAATTTTTTTTTTGGGCAACACTAGAATCGTGTGTGTGTGTGCGTGTGTGCCTCTTAGACGCCTCTGTCTGCCTTTCATTTGTGTTCGTGTTTGTTCTCTTGGCCAAAACAAGTTTTGTGGCCATTTGTTGTTGTTGTTGCTGTTTCTCTATATAGACATGTATATATTTATTTATTTATTTATCTTGAATACCCTGCATACACTGAAGAACACGAAAGAAGGTGTATATCACTTATCTAAATAATATAAATATAAATAAATTTGTAAATTTCATATGGATTTGATCTCATTAGTTGATTAATACTGATAGTTTAGGAACTATAGAAGATATAGCTATCGTATTTAATATATATTTTTTCTTTTAATGCAGTTCTTTATAAGTTTTGCTGCATTATCTTTAGATAGTTGGCTACTGGCTGTGCTCATCTAACATGCATTACAAGAATTTAGAGACTGTTCAAATAGACATTCATTTATTGAAACTTCTCTCAGTAGCACTCATAAAAGAAATATTCACATAAGTAGACTCCAGCATTAGATACATGCGGGTCTAAAGATACGTGTGAAAATTTTAGATACTATCAAGGGAAATGTTCAGATTTTGTATATAATATCGTTAGACATCACATATTATCGAAAGTTATATTCGAATATTGTAGATGGATGTATATGTCTTAAGATACGTTCATTGATTTCAGATACTATCAAAAGATGCATTCAGTTGTGGTATACAGTGTCTTCAGATACATTTATATATACATGCAAATGCATTCAGATATTGTAGTTACTCTTAAGATGTGCTTTAGATACTCTGCAAACTTTTAGAAGATATAAATATAAGTCTACAAAATAGTGTTAAATAAATTCATATTTATTATATATTTATTTAAATTGAAATGATTTGTTTAATCGCTTAAAAGTTAAAAATGCGTAGCTGTGTCTCAGTTTGGTGTTTGAACTTTATAGGGTAGCTGGTTAGTCGTGCATGCTGCACACTTGTAACACGCTAACTGTGTTTTTTTGTTACTTTTTGGTTGTATTTTTTTCTCTTTTGTTATTTCCCTTACTTTGTTGGGTGCAAAAGTCGCCGTCTAATTGCTTCATTAGCCAAAAAATAAAAATAAGAAATAAAAGAGAGAAATATATGTTTTCGGCTGGCCAAGTCATTAAAGCGGTGCATTAAACCCGCATCAATGTCAGCACAAAACAACAACCGCAAAACAACAAGAGCAACAACAACAACAATTGCTAGTTGTCGGTTAATTACAAGACAATCAACAGCAACAACTACAGCATAGTAAAAAAAAGTAACAAAAAAACCAGTCGACAGCTTTTTGACATTGACAATGAACTGCAGAGAGTGTCGAACAACAGCAACGACAACAACAACGGCTACAACATACAACAATCAAGCTAGAAAACAGTTGTTGTTGGCCAAAAATTGTGCATAGCCAGATTACGCAGACAACGCTACAGCCAATTTGTATCTTTGTATCTGCGGGATACTTTCAAAAAAAAAAAAACAAAGAGTTACAAATTAGCCAGCTGTGCGGCCTTTTTGACTACCTGTAATGCGTTTTAAACATATTCTCGATGCTGGCAAACCTAGATAATAGATACCCTGTAAATGTAAGAGGCGCTTAAAGTATCTTAAAGATATTAATCTGACATTGGAAGCTAGACAAATTGTTGAATGTCTATAGAAAGCAAGCTAGCTAAGCTGCTGCCAGGGTATCTACTAGTCGAGCATGATTTTGATAGATTTCGATTAAACAATTTAAATACTAAAAACAGTGAAAAAGGCTTTAATTAACTGTTAAAAATGGACTCTAGGGCAACAGGGCAAACACGTTATAATTATTGTGAACAAAATCAAATCGGGTTTGCCTTAAAAAGGCTAATTTCAAAAAATTTCTTTTAATAAAAATAATAAGCAAAAAATTTACAAAATAACAATAGTTTGTATTTTTACTTAAAAAAGAAAATTAACAAAAAACTTAAAAAAAATTATTATTTAAAAAAATAAAAAAAAAGTTAACAAAACGTAAAAAAAAATTATTTTGATTTTTATTTAAAAAATATGCTTAAAATAACTTTTTTATATTGTTATATTTAAAAACATTTTCTGTTAGATTAAAATCTTTTTATATTTAAAAAAAGAAAAGAAAAGGTTTTTAGACACGTTTTCATATTTGTTTTATCTCATAATTATTTGTTATTGTTTTTGTTTTTGCCATTCGTAATTCAATTAACTAAAAATCGTGTTTGGCTCTTTAACACACATGAAATAAAAATCTTGAAAATTTGTTACAATGCAAAAAACAATAACAAAAGGTATCAGATTTTGCTTGTTTGTTGTTGTTGTCAGAGCATTTGACTTGTTTCAATGTCATGTTACATTTCATTTGTTGTATATATAACAACACACATATATATACATATATGTATAAATATATATATATATATATGCACGATCTATTCGCTTGTGTTTTTGTTTTTGTTTTTGCTTTCAATGTTCTTTTTGGCATTGAGAACGTTTTGTCTGTGGGGCAAAGCCAAAAAAGTAGATTAGATAGAGAAACCGAAACGAAACGAAACGAAAACGAAACGTATCTACTAGCTAGAATAAAATCGGAATATAGAATCGAGACATAGGAGGACATACTCGGAGAGCTTGAATGGGGCCAGCTGCATTTGTAATTGCGTTCACACGCAGATACAATTCCATTTTTATTATGCGTTAGTTTGTTGCTATTTTTTGAGAGCCAAAAACAAAAAAAAACAACAACAAGCAAAGAACAGAGAAAAAACTCTTATCTCTTAACCAGGCCTTACTCAAGTTATATAAAAACGAAAAGAAAAGGGAAAAACAGAATGAATTGCTGAGTTTGTATTGAACGTCTGTGTGGCATAGAAGTGCTGGGAAGTTTTGGCCCATTCCACAGAGTACATATGTTCTTGATCAGCAGAGATATAGTTGTAGCTAGAGTCTTTATAGCACTGCATTGTTTTAGAGTATGTGAGTGTGCATGAACCTAGAAATAGGGAGTCTGAAACACTGAACATACGTAAATAAATTTTGTTATCGATACTTATCGATTTTCTAATTTGTATGAAATCGACAAATATCGATATCAGGTTTGTAATCGATAAATATACAAATAATGTAAACGTTCATGAAATGTATTGCAACCGATATCAAATTTCAAACAACACACACACATATCTAATTTCACTAAATCGATTAGAAATCAATTTAAAAATTCTGACAGCACATAAAGTTAAGCCCGTTGTAGAAAATGATCGATTTTTCATGTTCACAAATTATATATAGTCAATAATTTCATTGTGCTGAGTCATTGTGCCATTAAACCGAGAACTTGGAGAACTAGATCAAATTTATGTTACATAATTCTATTTTATTATGCAGTAAACTATTT